AAACTTTCAGGAATGAAACAAACTTCATAAAAACTTAATTAATGTATTTGAATTTGACTACCCTCTAGTGGAAAAAAAACCTACAAATTATAGTGGCAGGAAATTCCTTCATTTATCGACAATATAGGGTAGTGTGAACAAATGTTTATTGTGCCTTATCGGAAAGATCACAACTCTTTGGAAAAGTTACAACCTCTGAAAAGGTCACAACCTTTCATAAAAGTCACAATTTTTCATAAAAGTCGCAACACTTCATAAATATCACAACTTTTCATAAAAGTCACAACTTTTCATGAAAAGGGAAGGCTAGTTTTGGAAATAAATAAATTTAAAAGGGAATCCTGGTTTATGGTGGTGCCACGTAGGCAGGCCTAGGGTTCTCTTTTATATAAATATATGATTGATTGATCTACTCGGTGTCAAATTTTCATATCATCTAGTCCTTCTTCTCTCAAGGAGGTGCTGAAATCCAACATTAGATGTTTAGGACTTCTCATAACCAAATTGAAAAGTGAAAGCCATGACTCATGAATATGGTAAATTTTCAAATAAAGTAGTATTAAAATTCTGTATGATGTGCTTTACAATTGTGTACTCATCAATGTCCGCCTCTCTAAAAACTATTTTGAGCTAGATTTACAAAAAGAATGTTGGCCTTGATTCAACAAACAAGAAGATGTTGTTTTCCACTTTCTTGGTGCAAAGAAGAAGTTGAACAGCGGCATGAAGGAATCGAGAGGAGCACAGCTCTGTGAAGATCTCCAGCAGCTACACCTTTCTTGATTAGTGAAATGATGTAGCTCATGAAGGCTGAATCACAGGGTAATGTAATAGGGCCACCTCTTGGCAGCCCAAACTCTTCTTCGGACAAGCTTAAAAGTTGCCTAATGACCTCATTTTCAAGGTAAGCCAATGGAACGACAAAGCGGGATTGATCAGCTGTATAGACTACAAAATGGCCTTTTTGAACTATAGAGGATGAAGATGCACTGCAACTGTCTACATCACTACCATTTCTTGGAAATGAAATCCTCTTCCTCTCCATAGCAGCAAACTTCTGCCATTTCCTGGCCATCTTGATGAGTTTCTTAGTGCTGAGCATTGCCATTTGTTTTTTTGGAAGATTGAAAATAAGAAAGTAGAAAATAAATTTAGAGACCTTTGATGGTTGAACTGATAATGCTTGTCCTTGAGGATGAAAAGGCTCATGAAAGAGGGATTATTTATACAAAATGGAGCTGAAGTTTTTGTCACTAACCACTGAAGGCAAAACCATGTGCCGATGTTTGTTGGCCAAGTTGGCATGGGGCCTAAAATTTGTGGATGAAGCTAGGTATATTAGCTATAATATCATCTCATAAATGGTACTTCTCACCAATGCCAATAATTAGAAACCATTAAATGAACAATTGCTGGTGAGAAGCAAAACCATGTTCTTCTCCCTTCATTTTCATGTAGATAGGGGACACTTGACTATCATTTTGGCTACTTGTGCTAGAAAAACCCCTTCATTTAAGTCATCATGTGGCTATTCTGTTTTGGCCTCTTTCACCCTATTTTTAAACCTGGTGGTCCAGGAAAAATCATCATCTTTATCTATTCTTGTGGATTTTATTTTAAGAGTAATTTATTACAAATCATGAGAAGAAGAGAAAAACCAAATGAAATTTTATCCTCCATTGTCTCCACCAGTGGTCACCGGCCTATTTCTCTTGACCACCACTAATTATTTGGATAAGAAACTTGTCATAAACTTGTATATATATACACACACATACTAATTTCCAGACTTGCAAACTTTCATTCTTTCTTCAGGTCTTCAAATGTCGTTGTCTCTCACCTCCGCCACCTTAATGCAGATACTTCAGCAAAACCTGATGCCTGCTGGATATGTTGATACAGGGCCTTAAATTTGTGGATGAATCTTGTCCAAAAAGATGTAAGATGATGACTTCCATTCTTTCTTCATTTGATTGACGACTGAATGGACCTATTAATTATGACACCAAATAACATGGAGGACTTCTCACATATAATAATAGTCTGAGACTTTTGAATGAAGAAGAATTGATATCTTAGTGGTGCTGTCTGCTTTGTCATGTTGATAAGGGATCTCTACACAGTCGTGAAACTTGGATTTCCACTAAAGAAGTAGACAAATGAATAAGATAAGGAGTGTTGGAAATTTGGAGGGACATGTACAGACTCGGAAGATTGACAAACAAGGAAGTCAAATAAATAGAAGATATTAAGTAACACGAAATTACAAAAGTTAATGATTTTGTTGTGATGATATAATCTTAATATAAGCTACTTTTGTTACTTATTCCTGAAATCTATTTTGGAAGAAACAAATGTGCATATGGCTACTTGCTTATTGTAGCATCTTATCACATTTATTTTGAAGTTATTATTAGAGGTTGAACCCTGAAGTAGGTGCATATAGGGCAAATATAGAGGATAATATGAGAGAAAGTCGTCGAATCTATCAAGCCATATCCTAATGGACCTTCGAGAGCATGGAAATCCATAGGTGCAATTATATATATGATGTTGGAAGATGGTAAGAAAGAATGAGTTAAACCAAATATCGCATAGAGTGCTCAAAGTATTACAACCTCTTGGAGACAATGTGGACTTAACTGAGAACATAGAATAATTGATGCAAAAGAATCTATAGTTAGCATTATGTCCGCTGCTGGTGACCTGTCTTTTTATCAGTTAAAGATTTGTATGTATGTGTTGGGAAAAAAAGTGAGATTTAAAGAATTTATTAGCTTTAGAAAACTCCCAAATTGAATTAAAAGACAAACTTATTATAGTTGGATTTAATGGATCTGATTAGAACATAATGCATAGAGTTGATTCATATAATTGAGACTAAACAGTTTGGGTTTCACAAAATTACAGTTTGGGTTTCACAAATTTTTTCATATCTTCTAGTCATTCTTCGATCAATAGATAGTTAGGACTTCTCATAACCAAATTTAAAATTGAAAGCCATGAATATGGTAAATTTTCTAGTAAAATAGTATTCAATTTGTTGATGTGCTTTACAATTGTATACTATTTGGTGTCCACCTCTAAAAACTATTTTGAGCTAGATTTACAAAAAAGAATGTTGGCCTTGACTCAACAAACAAGAAGCTGTTGGTTTCCACTTTCTTGGTGCAAAGAAGAAGTCGAACAGCAAAAAGAAGGAATTGATAGGAGCAATGCTTTGTGAAGATCTCCAGCAGTTATGCCTTTCTTGATTAGTGATACGATGTACTCCATGAAGGCTGAATCACAGGGTAATGTAATAGGGCCACCACTTGACAACCCAAACTCTTCTTCGGACATGCGTAAAAGTTGCCTAATGACCTCATTTTCAAGGTAAGCCAATGGAATGACGAAGCGGGATTGATCAGTTGTATAAACTACAAAATGGCCTTTCTCAACTATAAAGGATGAAGATGTACTGCAACTGTCTGCATCACTATCATTTCTTGGAAATGTAATCCTCTTCCTCTGCATAGCGGCAAACTTCTGCCATTTCCTGGCCATCTTGATGAGTTTCTTAGCGCTGAGCATTGCCATATGTTTTTTTGGAAGATTGAAAATGAGAAAGTAGAAAGGAAATTTAGAGACTAAATTTAGATGGTTGAACTGATAATGCTTGTCCTTGATGATGAAAAAGCTCATGAAAGAGGGATTATTTATACAAAATGGAGCTGAAGTTCTTGTCACTAACCACCGAAGGCAAAACCATGTGCCGATGTTTGTTGGCCAAGTTGGCATTGGGCCTAAAATTTGTGGATGAAGCTAGGCCTATTAGCTATAATATCAGCTCATAAATGGTACTTCTCACCAATGCCAATAATTTGAAAGCATTAAATGAACAATTGCCGGTGAGAAGCAAAACCATGTTCTTCTCCCTTCATTTTCATGTAGATAGGGGACACTTGACTATCATACTTGTGCTAGAAAAACCATTTCATTAAAGTCATCATGTGGCTATTCTGTTTTGGTCTCTGTCACCCTATCTTTAAATCAGGTGGTCCAGGCAAAGCTATCATCTTCATCTATTTTTGTGAATTTTGTTTCAAGAGTGTCCTTTATGTAAATCATGAGTCTTCAGATGGCATTATCTCTCACTATAGTGGTCACCTATTTCTCTTGACCACCACTAAATATTTTTATATGAAACTTGTCATAAACATGTATATATATACTAGTCTCCGGAATGTGATGCCATCTCTTTGACAATAGAAAAAAATAAACTGGAATTACATTCATTCTCAGGGGTCAAAGATTCTCCCTTAGTCTCGGTACTAAGTTTTTCCATTACTTGTGCGCAAATTGTTGATAGTAAAATGGGAGTAAATCCCCTATTAATTCCTTCCCAACCGAGAAGTGAGATCAAAGAAAGCATCCTCTTTGAAGGGGATTTTGACACCAGCTATTTGATGATCAAAACCAGTATCTTCCTCAGCTTGAGCAACAAGTGTTGAAATAAAGCTGGCTGGCTCAAGTACGATATTGGCAGCGTAGAATGACCTCTTGGTACATATACTGCATATATTGAATATTAACATATACTTATTCAGCTTGACTACCAAGTCTTGAAATATAGGTTCGCTCAAGTATGAAACTGGCACCACAAGATTTTGGTTCTTGTTGAATTCAATTGGGATATGAATTCGTGAAGATATTGGAAAGAGGAGATTGACAAAGGAAGTTACCATAACTTCTGGGTTTTGTCAAATTTTCTTTTATTAGTTAAAGATGTGTATGTCTGTATTCCAAAACTGGGATTAAAGTGAGATCGAGAGAATGTACTAGTTTTAGAAAACTCCAAGATTGGATTGTTAGGACTACTCATAACCAAATTGAAAAGTAAAAGCCATGAATATGGTAAATTTTCAACTAATGTAGAATTAAAATTTTGTATGATGTGCTTTACAATTGTGTACTCGTCAATGTCCGTCTCTCTAAAAACTATTTTGAGCTAGATTTACAAAAAGAATGTTGGCCTTGACTCAACAAACAAGAAGCTGTAGTTTTCCACTTTCTTGGTGCAAAGAAGAAGTTGAACAGCAGCATGAAGGAATCGAGAGGAGCACTGCTCTGTGAAGATCTCCAGCAGCTACACCTTTCTTGATTAGTGAAATGATGTAGCTCATGAAGGCTGAATCACAGGGTAATGTAATAGGGCCACCTCTTGGCAACCCAAACTCTTCTTCGGACATGCTTAAAAGTTGCCTAATGACCTCATTTTCAAGGTAAGCCAATGGAACGACAAAGCGGGCTTGATCAGCTGTATAAACTACAAAATGGCCTTTCTCAACTATAGAGGATGAAGATGTACTGCAACTGTCTGCCTCACTAGCATTTCTTGGAAATGAAATCCTCCTCCTCTGCATAGCGGCAAACTTCTGCCATTTCCTGGCCATCTTGATGAGTTTCTTAGCGCTAAGCATTGCCATTGTTTTTTGGAAGATTGAAAATAAGAAAGTAGAAAAGAAATTTAAAAACCTTTGATAGTTGAACTGAATAATGCTTGTCCTTGATGATGAAAGGCTCATGAAAGAAGGATTATTTATACAAAATAGAGCTGAAGTTCTTGTCACTAACCACCGAAGGCAAAGCCATGTGCTTATGTCTGTTAGCCAAGTTGGTATGGGACCAAGAATTTGTGGATGAAGCTAGTTTACTTTGATGAACAACCGATTAGGCCTATTAGTTGTAATCTACTTATTACTTCTCACCAATGCCAATAATTTGAAACCATAAATGAACAATGTCTGGTAAGAAGCAAAACCATGTTTCACTCTTTTCTTTGTCATGTAGATAGGTGACCTTTTAAATTTCCATCTTGGCATCAACTTCACCAATTCTTGTGTATAGTAATTTCAAATAAATGTGGGGCCTAATGTTGTTTTTCAACAAATTTTTTGTCTTAACAGAGCAAGCAAAACCATGTGAAGCTTCATGTGCCATTGCTTCTCACCATTAAATTTGGATTGAAGACTTTCTACTAACCTGTATATATACACATTCATAGAAATCAACTTAAGCAAAACACAACTTTCACTTGATGTGTATTCTTTCTTTTAATTAATCATCATTTGAAGTTACAAAGTATCTCACTATGGGTATCAAAATGAGTCCCCTTGTTCAAGGTACTAGAATCTTCAGGAGGTTTTCAAATTCCGGAGGTGTTCCCAAAGGTCATTGTGCAGTATATGTTGGAGAAAACCAGAAGAAAAGATTCGTCATACCAATATCTTACTTGAGCCAGCCTTTATTTCAAGACTTATTAACTCAAGCTGAAGAACATTTTGGCTTCGATCATCCAATGGGTGGCCTCACAATACCTTGCCAAGAGGATGTATTCATTGATCTCACATCTCGCTTGTGGAGATCGTGAGTAGGATCACAGTGCAAATTCTTTTGCAAATGAAATTTTGTAAAGTTGTAGGACTTAAATATTAGAATGAGTAGATTGAGAGAGGAACTTTCACTGTATGGTTTAGAAACACACGAACCTTGAAAATTCTTCCATGATCAATTTATGAATAGAAAATGTTCTAGTTCAGATTAATCTCTTTTTCAGTAATATTTTCTAGACAATTCCGTTATTCTTTTAGAATTTTTGAGCTGTCTGCATTTCTCAGAATTATTTGTTTTTTTGTTTTCTCTTAGGTCATGTTTTAGAATAATAAAATTGTCTCTTGAAACAATGGGTATCAAAACGACTCCATTTATTAAGTCTAATCAAATAACATACTTGAATCCACCTTTATTTCAAGATCCGTTAGATCATATTGTAGTTTATCTCCTAATTTCTTATGAAAATACCATAAATATACTTGGACATAATATTTTCTTCAACAAGTTTATTCTTCAAATGCTGTTGTCTATCACCTCTGCCACCTTAATGAAAATACCTCAGCAAAGCCTGATGCAGAATACCTTCTGGATATGGGGACTTAAATTTGTGGATGAATCTTGTTTCAAAGGATGGAAGATAATGAGTTTATTATTTTCTTCATTAAATTGACGACCGAATGGACTGAGACCTTTATGGGAGTGAATGGAACCTGATTAGAACATAACACATAAAGTTGATTCATATAATTGAGACTAAACAGTTTGGGTTTGAGACGCAGTTGAATGTTGATCGTTTGATCTCCTTTGTTTCAAATTTTCATACCATCTAGTTTTTCTTCAATCAAGGAAGTGCTAAAATCCAACATTAGATTGTTAGTACTACATAACCAAATTGAATAGTGAGAACATGAAAACATGAAAACATGACTAAATTGGTCCTAGTTACTCTTCGGGGCAGAGTGGAAGAAGTGGGGGATTCTCGGAAGCGGAAAAGGATCAATGAATTCAAAAGAATTGAAAAAGCGATTGATTACTCGGATTGGTTCTCGCATCCATGTGCGCAAAAGGCTGGGCGAGTTTGGTTTGAGTGTTCATCGATCGGGTGGATCTAATTGTCCAAGATTCCCCACTGCTTCCCCCTGTGGGAGTTCAGGCCGTGTCTCAGTCCTCTTTTCTATGCATCTTTAGTATTTTTGCCCTGGTGGATTTCTTTCTCAGTTAATAAATGCATGGACTGGACTAAACAGAACAAGAGGGATCCATTTGAGAAGATTCTTCTCCCTTTCCTTCCCTTTTTTCGGAAGAAGGGTCGGATCTCAGATTTTGATTTAGTTTTCTATATTTTGTATTTCAAATCTTGATCAAAATATATGCAATAGGAAATATGGTAAATTTTCAAATAAAGTAGTATTCAATTTGTATGATGTTCTTTACAATTGTGTACTCTTCAATATCCGCCTTTCTAAAACCTATTTTTGAGCTACCATGTACAAAAAATTGTGGACCTTAACTCAACAAACAAGAAGCTGCTGACTTCCAATTTCTTGGTGCATAGAAGAAGTTGCACAGCAGCATGAAGGAATCGAGAGGAGCACTGCTTTATGAAGATCTCCAGCAGCTACACCTTTCTTGATTAGTGAAATGATGTAGCTCATGAAGGCTGAATCACAGGGTAATTTAATAGGGCCACCACTCGGCAACCCAAACTCTTCTTCGGACATGCTTAAAAGTTGCCTTATGACCTCATTTTCAAGGTAAGCCAAGGGAACGACAAAACGGGCTTGATCAGTTGTATATACTACAAAATGGCCTTTCTCAACCATAGAAGATGAAGATGTACTGCAACTGTCTGCATCACTACCATTTCTTGGAAATGAAATCCTCTTCCTCTGCATGGCTGCAAACTTCTGCCATTTCCTGGCCATCTTGATGAGTTTCTTAGCACTAAGCATTGCCATTTTTCCTTTGAAGACTGGAAACAAGAAATTGAATGAGAAATTTAGAGAAATTTGATGGCTAAATTGATAGTGCTTGTGCTTGATGAAGATGAATGGGGAATTATTTATATAAGGAGGCTATAGACAGGCCTTGAGTTAGAGCTGAAGTGTTTGTCACTAACTACCGAAGGCAAATCCATGTGTCAATGCCTGTTGGCCATGTTGATATGGGGCCTAAAATTTGTGGATGCAGCTTGTTTGAAAATAAATGATGATAAGTTTCTTCCTTTCTTCTCTTTAATCAATTAGGCAAACTTGGTATTTCTCAGCAATGCCAATAATTTGAGACCATTAAATGAACAATTGCTGGTAAAAAGCAAAACCATGTTCTGCTCTCTTCTTTGTCATGTAGATAGGTGACCTTTAGATTTCCATCTCGGCATCAATTCATTGATTCTTGTGGATTTTATTTCAAATAAATGCGGGGATTAATGTCATTCTTCTACAAATTTATTGTCTGAATACTTGACAATATATAACAGAGTAAGCAAAACCATGTGAAGCTTCATGTGCCAATGTCTCTCACCAGCGGCCACCAAATCCTCTACACCATTAAACTTGGATATGAAACTTATCACTACCTTTGTAAATATACACATACATAGAAAGTTTTTTATGCAAAACACAAGTCTCAATTTCTGTGTATTTCTCAAAATCCTTCTTTTATTAAGTCACTTATTTAAAGCTACAAAAATATATCACTATGGGTATTAAAATGAGTCCTCTTATTCAAGGGACTAGAATCTTCAGGAGGTTTTCAAATTCCGGAGGTATTCCCAAAGGTCATTGTGCAGTATATGTAGGAGAGAGCCAGAAGAAGAGATTCGTCGTGCCAATATCATACTTGAACCAACCTTTATTTCAAGACTTGTTAACTCAAGCTGAAGAACAGTTTGTCTTCGATTATCAGATGGGTGGTCTCACAATACCTTGCAAAGAAGACGTGTTTGTTGATCTCACATACCGCTTGAGACGATGAATTGTATCAAAGTGCAAATTCTATTGCACATGAAATTTTGTAAAGTAGTAGGACTTAGATATTAGAAAGAGAAAAATCCACTGTATAGTTCAGAAACACTTGAACCTTGAAAATTTCCTCAATGATCAATTTATGAATAGCAGAAGTGCTGGTTCTGATAATCACTATTTTGGTAGTATTTGCAAAAAAAATTCCTGTTTTTCATTTAGAATATTTCTTCAAAAAATATTTAAGCCCCTGTATGAAACAGTTGCACCGTGTGGCGCAAACTAGCACATCGAAGGAAGTATCATTTAGTGGAATAAGACTGTCATTTGAATGCCATAAACTTATATATACACATAAGTATTTGAGCATTCCTCAAAATTATTTGTTTCTTGTTTGTTCTTAGATCATCATTTAGATTTAAAAATCATAGCTTGAAATACAAAGCCGCGCGATATATTTTGGACATCATTTAGGTTCTTCAGCATCTGCAGTTGTTTTTTCACCTAATTGTTTCTGCACAAATATATTTTGGACATCTTATTATGTTCAACAAGTTTAATTTAATATTCTGACACTAACTTGGAAGACAAAGCCACGCGATACTTAGTAAAACCTGATTTCTGTTGGATATTGATATGGGGTCTTAAATTTGTGAAAAAGTCTTGCAGATTTCCTTTCTTTCTTCATTTGCTTGCGGAATAACACTTAGGAACTTCTCACAAATTATAATAGTTTGGGACCTTTGAATGAAGAATGGATATCGTAGAGGTGTTAATACATAAGAGGTACTAATCCAGGATTAGATTGTTAAGTCTTCTCATAACCAAATGTAAAAGTGAAAGATGTAGATATGGTAAATCTTCTCTGATAAAATAATATTGAATATTGAATCTGTATGATGCGCTTTACAATTGTGTTCTCCATTCTATGTCCTATCTAAGCTAGAGTGTAATAAGAAAAAATGTTGATTATGACTCAACAAACAAGAAGCTGTTGGTTTCCACTTTCTTGGTGCAAAGAAGAAGTCGAACAGCTAGAAGAAGGAATTGATAGGAGCAACGCTTTGTGAAGATCTCCAGCAGCTATGCCTTTTTTTATTAGCGAAATGATGTAGTCCATGAAGGCTGAATCACAAGGTAATGTAATAGGGCCACCACTCGGCACTCCAAACTCTTCTTCGGACATGTTTAAGAGTTGCTCAATGACTTCATTTTCAAGGTAAGCCAATGGAATGACAAATCGAAATTGATCGACTGTATATACTACAAAATGTCCTTTTTCAACTATAGGTGATGAGGATGTACTGCCATTTCTTGGAAATGAAATCCTCTTCCTCTGCAGGGCTGCAAACTTCTGCCATTTCTTAACCATTTTGATGAGTTTCTTGGTACTTATCATTGCCATTTTCTTTTCCGGAAGATTGAAAACAAGAAAGTAAATAAGAAATTTAGAGACTTTTGATGGTTGAATTGATAATGCTTGTGCTTGATGATGAAAACGCTCAAGGAAGAGGGCTTATTTATACAAGAGGAGCTGATAAGTTTGTTAGGCAAAGCCATGTGCTGATGCCTGTTGACCATGTTAATATGGGGCCCTAAATTTGTGGATGAAGCTAGTTTAAAAGACGATAAGTTTCTTCGTTTCTTCTCACCAATGCCAATAATTTGAGACGATTAAATGAACAATTGCTGGTGAGAAGCAAAACCATGTTCTGCTCTCTTCTTTGTCATGTAGATTTCCATCTTGGCATCAACTTCATTAAACCTTGTCGATTTTATTTTAAGGGTATCCATAAAATAAAATTGGGGCCTAATGTTGTTTTTCAACAAATTTATTGTCTGAATACTTGACAATAACAGGGTAAGCAAAACCATGTGAAGCTTCATGTGCAATTGTCTCTCACCAGTGGCCACCAAATTCTCTTCACATTTATTTTGTATATGAAACTTACCACTACTTTGTATATATACGCATACATAGAAAGTTTTTTTATGCAAAACACAAGTCTCACTTGCTGTGTATTTCTCAAAATCATTCATTCTTTTTCTTTTTAAGTCATCGTTTGAAGTTACAAAGTATCCCACTATGGGTATCAAAATGAGTCCGATTATTCAAGGTACTAGAATCTTGAGGAGGTTTTCAAATTCCGGAGGTGTTCCAAAAGGTCATTGTGCAGTATATGTAGGAGAGAGCCAGAAGAAGAGATTCGTCGTGCCAATATCTTACTTGAGCCAACCTTTATTTCAAGACTTGTTAACTCAAGCTGAAGAACAGTTTGGCTTCGATCATCAGATGGGTGGTCTCACAATACCTTGCAAAGAGGACGTGTTTGTTGATCTCACATCCTGCTGAAGACGATGATTGTATCAAAGTGCAAATTCAAATTTTGCACATGAAATTTTGTGAAGTAGTAGTAGGACTTGGATATTAGAAAGAGTAAAATCCACTGTATAGTTCAGAAACACAAGAAACTAGAAAAAATCTTCAATGATAAATTTATGAATAGCAAAAGTGCTGGTTCTAATTATTACTATTTTGGTAGTATCTGCTAAAACAATTCTGTTATTCATTTATGATATTTCTTCTAAGCAAATTAATTAAGCCCCTGCATGCAACAGTTGCACTGTGTGTCACAAACTAGCACATCGAAAAAAGTATCATTTATCGGAATAAGAATGTTATTTGAGTTGTTTCTCACCAGCAACACCTTATTTGTCTCGACTACTAAACTTTTGGATGTGAGACTTGCCATAACATGTACAGTGACAACATATTTCATTTTTTGTGCATTTTTAAAGATTATTTGTTTCTTGTTTATTCTTAGATCATCATTTAGAGTTAAAAATAATATCTTGAAAGAACAGCAATCAAGATGACTCCACTTAAGGACGTCTTCAGCATCTGCAATTGTTTTATCACCTAATTGTTTCTGCACAAATATATTTTGGACATCTTATTTTCTTTAACAAGTTTATTTTTAATATGCTGACACTAACTTGGAAGACAAAGCAACGTGATAGTACTTCAGATTCTGCTGTCTCTCACCTTTGCCACTTTAATGTGGATACTTCAGCAAAGCCTGATGTCTGTTGGATATTGATATGGGGTATTAAATTTGTGAAAAAATCTTGTTTGACAGGATGGAAGTTGATGAGTTTCTTTATTTCTTCATTTGGTTGACAACTGAATGGACCTATTAAATAATTATAGTTCGGGACCTTTGATAACCAAATGTATAACTGAAAGCCACAGATATGATAAACTTTCTCTGATTAAATAATATTCAATCTGTGTGATGCGCTTTACAAGTGTGTTCTTCAGTGAATGCCCTATCTAAAAACTATTTTGAGCTAGAATGTAATAAAAATAATGTTGATTATGACTCAACAAACAAGAAGCTGTTGGTTTCCACTTTCTTGGAGCAAAAAAGAAGTCGAACAGCAACATGAAGGAATTGATAGGAGCAATGCTTTGTGAAGATCTCCTGCAGTTATGCCTTTCCTTATTAGCGAAATGATGTAGTCCATGAAGGTTGAATCACAAGGTAATGTAATAGGGCCATCACTTGACAGACCAAACTCTTCTTCAGATATGATCAAAAGCTGCCTAATGACCTCATTTTCAAGATAAACCAAGGGAATCACGAAGCGCTTTTGATCAATTGTATATACTACAAAATGCCCTTTTTCAACTATAGACGATGAAGACGTACTACAATCATCTACATCACTAACATTTCTTGAAAATGAAATCCTCTTCCTCTGCCCTGCTGCAAACTTCTGCCATCTCCTGGCCATTTTGATGAGTTTCTTGGTACTGATCATTGTTAAAAAAAACCGGAAGATTGGAAACAAGAGAGTAAATAAGAAATTTAGAGATTTTTTATGGATGAATTGATAATGCTTTTGCTTGATGATGAAAAGGCTCATAGAAGAGGGATTATTTATACAAGATGGAGCTTAAGTTTTTGTTACTAACCAAAGCCAAAGCCATGTGCTAATGTCTGTTGGCCAAGTTGGTATGGGGCCTAAAATTTGTGGATGAATCTACGTTGAAAATAAAAGAAGATAAGTTTCTTCCTTTCTAATCTTTGATTAACTAGGCCTACTCGGTATTTCTCAGCAATGTCAATAATTTGAAACCATTGAATGAACAGTTGCTGGTGAGAAGCAAAACTATGTTCTGATCTCTTCTTTGTCATGTAGATAGGTGACCTTTAGATTTCTATATTGGCATCAACTTCATCAATCCTTGTCGATTTTAATTTAAGGGTGTCCGTAAAATAAAATTGGGGCCTAATGTTGTTCTTCAACAAATTTATTGTCTGAATACGTGATAATAATAGAGCAAGGAAGGTCATGTGTCATTGTCCCTAACCAGTGGCCACAAAATTCTCTTCACCATTAAATTTGGATATGAAACTTACCACTAACTTTGTATATATACATTCATAGAAAGTTTTTTATGCAAAACACAAGTTTCACTTGATGTGTATTCCTCAAAATCCTTTATCTTTCTGTGAAGTCATCATTTGAAGTTACAAAGTATCTCACTATGGGTATCAAAATGAGTCCGCTTATTCAAGGTACTAGAATCTTGAGGAGGTTTTCAAATTCCGGAGGTGTTCCAAAAGGACATTGTGCAGTATATGTAGGAGAGAGCCAGAAGAAGAGATTCATCGTGCCAATATCATACTTGAGCCAGCCTTTATTTCAAGACTTGTTAACTCAAGCTGAAGAACAGTTTGGTTTCGATCATCCAATGGGTGGTCTCACAATACCTTGCAAGGAAGACGTGTTTGTTCATCTCACATCCCGCTTGAGATCATAAATTGTATCAAAGTGCAAATTCTCTTGCACATGAAATTTTGTAGAGTAGTAGACTTAGATATTAGAAATAGGAGATTTAGAAAGGAACTTTCGCTGTATAGTTCAGAAACACAAGAATCTATAGAAGTTGTTTCCATGAATAATTTATTAATAGCAGAAGTACTGTTTCTTATAATCACTATTTTTATTGGTTATATTTGCTTGCAAACTAACACATCCAAGAAAGTATCATTTAGCAAAATAAGAATGAAGTTTATGATAAGAAACAAGAAATTACATAGCGGAACCAAGTCATCAGCTTTATCTATACTTAAGGCTTTAAGTTTTTTATGATGTCCTTGATTCTAAGTTATGAGAAGCTGAGGCATACTATTCAACAAGTTTAGTGTCTGTATATTTGGATAAACTTTTGGATATCAAACTTTCCATAAACTTATATATACACAGTGCAAAAACCTTTCCTTTTCCGTGCATTTCTCAAGATTATGTGTTACTTGTTCATTCTTATAACATCAGTTAGAGTTAAAAATCATATCTTGAAAGAAGGGGAATCAACAAATGACTCTACGTATTCAATCTAATTGAATTTTAAGAACGTCTGCAGTTGTTTGATATCATACTTGAGTTTTTCTTTAGATTTCAAGTCTAGTTAGCTCATATTATTTTATTCACCTAATTGCTTCTGAAAATACCACAAAATGTTCACATTGGATGCTAACTTAGAAGACAAGCACAACAGTACTTCAGATGTCGTTGTCTCGCATCTCTGCCACCCTAATGCAGATATTTAGAACATACTAATGCATATACACATAAAAGGAGGCATAGTTGATTTATTGATCATTTAGACCTTATTCAATCAAGAAGGTACTGCTGTAAGTGAAATTCTTTCCATAAACAAAGTGGTTTTAATATATAAGAGGTACCAATCGAGTATTAGATTGTTAAGTCTTCTCATAACCAAGCATAAAAGTGAAAGCCATGGATATGGTAAATTTTCTCTGATAAAATAATATTCAATATATCTGTATGATTAGCTTTACAGTAATGTTCATCAGTGTATGCCCTACCTAAAAAACTATTTTCAGCTAGCATGTATTATGACTCAACAAACAAGAAGCTGTTGGTTTCCACTTTCTTGGTGCAAAGAAGAAGTCGAACAGCAAGAAGGAATTGATAGGAGCAACGTTTTGTGTAGATCTCCAGCAGTTATGCCTTTCTTGATTAGGAAAATGATGTAGTCCATGAAGGCTGAATCACAGGATAATGTAATAGAACCACCACTCGGTAGCCCAAATTCTTCTTCGGACATGTTCAAAAGTTGCCTAATGATTTCATTTTCAAGGTAAACCAATGGAATGACAAAGCGAACTTGATCAGCTGTATATACTACAAAATGTCCTTTTTCAACTATAGAGTATGAAGATGTACTGCAACTGTCTGCATCACTACCATTTCTTGGAAATGAAATCCTTTTCCTCTGCATGGCTGCAAACTTCTGCCATTTCCTGGCTATCTTGATGAGTTTCTTAGCAGTGAGCATTGCCATTTTTCCTTTGAAGACTGGAAACAAGAAAATAAATGATAAATTTAGGGAACTTTGATGGCTAAATTGATAATGCTTGTGCTTGTTGATGAAAAAGAATCATGAATGGGGGATTATTTATAAAAGGCTATTGATAGACCTTGTGTTAGAGTCATTAACCACCGAAGGCAAAGCCATGTGCCGATGACTGTTGGCCAAGTTAATATGGGGCCTAAAATATGTGGATGCAGCTAGTTTGAAAATGAAAGATGATAAGTTTATTGCTTTCTTCTCTGAATACCAATATTTGAAACCATTAAATGAACAACTGCCGGTAAGAAGCAAAACCATGTACCACTCTTTTCTTTGTCATGTAGATAGGTGACCTCTAGATTTCCATCTTGACAATCAACTTCATCAATTCTTGTGAATTTTATTTTAAGGGTGTCCTTAAAATAGAAGTGGGGCCTAATGTTGTTCTTCAACAAATTTTTGGTTTGAATACTAGATAATACCATAGTAAGCAAAAATCTCATGTGCCATTGTCTTGAATTTTGTTTTGAAATCCTCCAAGATCTGTTGATGGGGATAGGTGCTCAGGTTTTCCATACCTGTAAATTGTTTCTGTCATGCTGCCACAATGTTGTACAAAAGAGATCATTCCAAGGTGTGAGAACATCAAAAAGCTAAGATTTTACGGGACTACGAAGGACTATAAAATTGGTGGAAAAACAGGTAGTTTGATAATCTTGTCCATCTATTCCAAGTGCAAAAAGTTTTCCTGTCACATCTCAAGGAATTAAAATTGGTCCTAATTGGTCAGACATAGGACTACCTGAACACCTTGAGTGAATTGCCTAACCTTGAAGTGCTAAAGCTGAAATCAGATGCTTGTTGTGGCGAAAAATAGAATCATAGATAACTGAAGGGGTATTTACTAGATAAGAAGGATAAATCTCAAGTCATGGAATACCTGATAAGGAAGAGATTCCTATCGAGTTGTTACCTAAAATGCAGGGATTAATGTCACGCCCCAAGCCTACACCCTGGACGTGGCCGACACTTGAAGACCATTGCTGGCCCCAAGCGAACCCTTGGCCTGGCTTCTTAACTCAGCGGAAACCTAACTTAACTGAATAACTCCATGCAATGCAAGGACATAAAACAACTTAACTAATAAAAATCTGGCCAAAAAGGCAACTCGAGTCTCAAAATAGAATATTTACATATATACATAGATGAGAGACTCAATACTAACTGACTGACTGTCTATGAAGCCTCTATAATACTGATATGAATGTTGGGACAGACCCCGCAACATCATAACAAAACAAAACTAGAAACACAAAATAACAGAGTCCTCCGGAATGCAAGGAGGCTCACCACTGACTCTGGAATGCTCAACTGGATCAACGGCGTACCCGGTGCTGATCCTGGGTACCTGCGTCTGCATCACCATAAGATGCAGGCCAACTGACATCAGTACATTGAATGTACGAGTATGCAAGCTGGAAAGCTAAGCAACATAGGCTAGAAGGAAATCTGGAAGAAACTGAATAACTTACCTGGTTCAACTCAACTCAACCTGACTGACTCATTTCAATATAATGCAATTTTAAACAAGTGCAATATAAAGAAAAGTTGTTTAAAACCTGCTATAAACTCGGATGTGTATACAAAGATACCATAAGCCTGAGATATATATAGAAATACAACTGAACTGATGTATGTAAAAAATACAATAACCGTTGTGTATAAAAATACAATAACTGTTGTGTATAAAAATACAATAATTGTTGTGGGAGTTTCTCTAACCGACAACCATCACATAGAGCTATAGTGATGATACATCGATCGACCTCACGCTGCCAGAGCATCCTATACCCGGCCAAAGGTATAAGACCTGAACTGCCTAATGGATCCACCAGTCTATCTGGAAAAGGATTCATCTAAAAAGTAAGATCATTTTCTACCCATGGTGGCTAACATGGTTCTATGGGGGCTGTGGGTTCCTTGAATGCTCCCCCAACTCGATGCTCGATACTACTCCCAAAACTGTACTGGATCTTATGTTTTAAAAACATATGTCTTCCTGCTGATTTGAGATAATTACTCAAAAACTTAGCTCAAAGGCTATCTTGGAAATCTCAGTTTCCTCTTTTGCTTCATTTAGAAGGCGATAACTCTTTTTCTGAAAAACTAGCCCGAAGGCTCTTTGGAGATCTCAGTTCCAAAGCTTGTTTAAATGTGAAAATATTTATAAACTTCTTTGGGAATACATAGTCCCCATATACTTCTTTGAAGAAAAGAACTTCAAACCTTAGCTTTACTTTTAAAACAACCTCTTTCTTTAGTTTGAGTTAATTACTCAATGCTTAGCCCAAAGGCTCTTTTGGAAAACATGGTTCCCCTCTTACTCAAATGTAAAAACATTTATAAACTCTTAGGGAATACTTAGTTCCCTTATAACTTTTGAGAAATGAACTCAACTTTAAACTCTTGACTTAACTTGAAACTCGATACTCTTTGCTTGATTGGAAACTTTATACTCTTTGCTTGACTGGAAACTTGAGCCTTAAAATGAAGTTAAAACGTTCATTAAAGACTCTTGAAAAACTTTAGAGACTTGCTTGACTTACTTCTTAACTTCTAAGCTTGGCTCTAACTTCACTTGACTTCTAACTTCACTTGAATTCTAACTTCACTTGACTTGGAAACTAACTCTCCTTGAATTTGATTATGGATTCAAGGTGTTTGATCACATGTTATGGACGAGTTCTTGACGTTTAAATGTACCTTGGGGTGTTGGAAACAACTAGGGAACATAGGTACAATACCTAGGAACATGCATGAAAAAGTGGGGAAGGAATGGGAAGACTTGGCGCTCTGAGAGGCGCGGAGCGCCAGACCTCAAAGGTCAGAAGGATCTGGTTGGGGCTCTGGTAGGGGTGACGCCCCAAGGGCTGGACCTCAGAGTCCCTTTTGGGGCGCGCTGGCTGGCGCGACGCCCCAACCCTTTTCCCCGAAAACTTGACTTTTCTCCTTCATTTTTCCAACTCTAAACCTCCCTTACCTTCAATGGTTTCAACCCCAAACACTAAGGATCGTAAAATACCTCAACATGCAATAGATTCAACTCAAAAACTCCACCGGAAACATACACCAAACCAACAAGAACTTCAACAACATCAACACCACAACCAACAACTTCAACAACACAACCAATATTTTTCTCATAAATAAAACGAGCTTGGCGTGTGGGGCAAAGAACCAACCCAACACTATGAACTCACATACCTTAATAGGGATCACCCCCGACGATATCCACGACGATCTCTACGAAGTTGCTTCTTCTCTCCTTCTTCTCTTCTTTCTCTCTTCACTCACAACCCTAACTCTCACTTTTTAAAAGGGAAAACTGATCTAAATCAGTCTAACACACTCATATATATCCAAAAGAAAAGGCTAGGGAAAAGACCAAAATGCCCTTACAAATTTCCAGACGGACTTCCCTGCCAACTGCCCAATTTCCAAAGGGCATAA